GTATCGGAGTCGTGTGTTTCAATAAAAGACTCGGTTTCCTGAACGGACGAGAAGATGAAGATCCCGAGGCCCTGGAGTTCCTACAGGCGTCCACAGATGCCTTCGCCATGCTGCATAAATCATTTTCTGGAGATTTAGGCTACATCTTCTACAGAAACAAGACCTACCGGACTTATGAACATGCGCTCAACGTCATCAGTAGGTGAGTTAACATAGTCTTTTCAAGCATTAACATTACTGCCTGTGATTTACCACTTTTGCGGTATAGGCAGGGGGATCTTTGAGTGTGATAATTTTAGACCGCAGAAGGCTAGTCTTGTCGCCAAGAATAGTGCAGGTAAGCATTGGTTTCCCCCTGAGACATAAATTCTACAGCCTTATCGAGTAATCGAACCTGGACTTCCCATGTTCCAAATCGTTCGGTCTGCCTTTATCCTTTTCTCATCATCCTAAACGTACATTTGTTTATGGACATGCTTCTTTCTAGGCATTACTTCGAGTTTTTACAGGAGTTATGTACTCAGACAACACCCCACATATGCTATTAGACTCTCACACATATACTGACAGTACACGCTATCCAACCCTGAGTAATCGACCTCATATAAAATATTTTAAAGCCCTTTACACACACACACACATACACACCAACACTGAGTACAAATCCTCACACATATATTTGTTAGTGAGGAGTTCACCTGCCTTTCTCACTAAGACAGTAAACTCCTAAAGTCCACCGATTCTGATTCAGGTTAGAAGAGTTCTCATTTGTGTTTAAAAAAAAGTCTGTCTTGATGGCACGTTAACGAGCCATATGCCAAATACCCTGTTTAGAACTGCCGCACCTTTATCGGCTACACTATCTTGCTTACATGCAGTCTAGTTCGGGTAGGGACCCCCAATGACTTATGGTTTACGTATCTATAGATAGAAGACAAAAGAGGTAAGTTACTATGCCCCACCTTCCCCCAACCAAATTAAAAACCCACCCCTGTTTTCATGAAGGGCTTTCTGTGGGATTAACAACTCAAGAATGAAAATCAGACTCACAAATCCAGAAAACCTCGTTTGACCGTAAAGCCATACATGTGAAGGACCACTTTCCACGCCTTCATGCGTATTGGCCATATAGAACCCCATCTATACTTTATAGAGCAATCGGCACTTGGTTGAAAATGCGGTCAACGAATATCCACTCAAGGCGGGGTTGACCTAAGAGCCAAGGTTTACTTAAAAAAATAAACGGCTTTGTCAGGTCCCGAACCTATCACGCATCTAGACGCTAACCACGTCCTGTTCGTAGACGGACAATTGTTGTTTGTTGCTTTCTGTTGAGTCTGCTGATGGGGTCTTGTGGATTTTTACTGTTGGTTTGTTCTCTCCAGAATTCCTTATTATTTCCTTTGATGAGTGCTTTGATTTCTGGTAATGACAATGAATGGGTGTGTTGTTTCTCATTTGCTCCATTGTTTTGCAAGTCTGTCCGCTAACTCATTTCCTGTGGAATCCTCTGAGTCCCCTGGAGGACTTACATGCAGTCACACGGAAAACAAATTTAATGTTTTTAATTTTTCTTTCCTGTTAATAGATTAACTCTGTAATGTCCGAGTTTTAGGTATTTTGTAGATGGTCGCTAACAAGAATGGTTTCTAATTTCTTTATGTTCAGATTCACTAGGAAACACCTTCTTCAAGCTAAACAGCTCCTAGACACTAGATTAAAGGAAGGAACTCTAAACCGTGACGAGCCAAACCTTCTTCTCTCCCTTTTCTCTGACGATACATTACAAGAGGATCACGTGATACAAGTGGTTGAGTCCCTATACTCCGGCGGGACTGACTCGGTAAGTTCTGTGCTGACTACTTGTAACTTGTTTTTCTGTGCTCGCTCTTAAAAGAGCGGTTGACACATTTTATTGTGTTGAGTAAGTCAAGCCTAATCTCACTAGGATCTTATACTGAGCGGGTTACTCAAAGTGCAGTGTGTCACTTATCTGGATAAGAATCCCCCAGAAACCCTGTTTAACCGTAAGGTTACACCGGGCGCCTCGACGGTTACACCGTAACCTGAAGTCTAGACGGGGTCGGGTTAATTTTTAACTGTACATTGTGGTTTACTGCTAGGTTGTGATATTTGCACCTTTCAGTCCAGTACATCCCCCAAAATAGTCGCCTTTGACGGCATGCTTGTTGTGGGCAGTGGATATATTCCCTCCCCACTTACTTACAAGAGTTAAATATATTTATCAAAGAAAAATATAGAAATTCCAAGAGGCAAAGAAAAAACAGTAAACATGAAGATGACCTAATCAATAGACTAAAACAGAAGTCAGTGCACTGCAATAGTTCGACTAAGAACAGGAAACAGCAGACGTAACGTACATTGCACAGAATAAAGGCAACACAATCCGCCTAATGTCCCCGACAAACCGCACACGAAACACCTGAGCTCATACAACAGAGGTGCCCTCTACAGCAATACCTGCGAGAAATCCCATGGCCAGAGGAAAGATGTATCCAGGATACTCTTTAGGGGACCCTTAGAGAGAAGACCAGCTGCTGACCTGCGGTTCCTGGAAGCAGCACTCCTGACTACCCGAGCATGTGAAACCCATCGCAAAGAAGCAGAGGAATTACCGCAAGACTGAGTTGTAACTGGTTTGAGGTTTGAGGTTTGAACAACGGATCAACATCATGGCACACGGGTAATTACCCTTAAGGGCTTTTTTTCTTCTAACTTAAATCTGAGTCCCAAGAAGCTCAGCACAGTGCACAGGTTTTGTAGCACCGGCGAGGATCCTGAAATACTTCAGGTAGATTTTTAACTCTAAATTTTTGCCTGTGCAGCGACGTTATTCTACTTTTTTTCTTCCGATTTCCAACTGCTAAGACATGTTTTAAGTGCGCAACAATGCACACGGGGGTCCGATCTGACTACCCAGAGACCGAAGGGAATTACTAGAAGTCCAAGTCCACGTGTAAAAATCCCAGAACACTATGCCTCGAGACCACGCAGCTCCCTAGAGAGTTTTAACTCTTACACACGATAGTCAAGAGGATACAAGAGTCAGGGAAAAAAATGTTGGATAAAGGTTTGTGAGACTTTTCTGGCGATCTGGTATCAGAGTATCATCTCCATGAGATATGTATTTCACCTCTCTACCTCTGCTCTCCCAGTCGCAAGACAAAGAAAATGTACAAGAAAATACAACTTGTAGAACAACTGTATGCTGTCTGTAAAGGAAAAGTTGACCAGTGTTCACACTCCCGTCTTTGGGAATGTTACCTAAAGAGGCACGTAGTTGCATCCACCGTATGACTCTCGTGCCATTGTCAAAACGCTATAAGATGTTTTTGTTAAAAAACGACACTCATCCATGGAAATTTAACCCTGTTAATTTCTGGACTGTGAAAGTGTGAGGCGCGTTTTTCTAAACCACATTTGCTTTCTTTTAACCCATTTTAGTTTGCCTAAGAGCCAACGTAATTTTTGAAACGCAGCATTATTGCAGATTCAAACCCAAAACATGTCCACCAGGCAAACAAGTTTCATTCATTTGGTAAATAATTTTCTCACTGATATTCATATGCATGTTAGGAAGAGTAAAACAGGTTTTCTTTGTCGTTTTTTTTTAAATTATCACCGTGTAGACGGCGGGAGCCGTGCAAGCGTTATTCTTCAACATGGCCAAACATCCGGACAAGCAGGAGAAACTGCGGCAGGAAGTGACCTCATTGTGTCCGCTAGGGCAGCCCATTAGCCCCGATGTTTTAAACAAGATGCATTACCTGAGAGCTTGCGTGAAAGAATCTTTCAGGTAGGTCACTTTGTTGTCGGTCCACAGTCGTGTTTGCTATTATTGTAGTTAATAATCAATGCTTAATTTGTTTCCTCCAGCAAAACAATTTATTAAATCCATGAAGTAAACAGGATTTAACACTGATTAAAAAGACTGATTATGTGATTTAATTCTTCTTCTTCTTCTTTTTCTTCTTCTTCTTCTTTTTCTTCTTCCTCTTCTTCTTCTTTTTCTTCTTTTTTTTTTCTTTTTCTTCTTCTTCTTCTTTTTCTTCTTCTTTTTCTTCTTCTTTTCCTTCTTTTCTTTTTCTTCTTTTCTTTTTCTTCTTCTTCTTCTTTTTCTTCTTTTTCTTCTTCTTTTTCTTCTTCTTTTTCTTCTTCTTCTTCTTCTTCTTCTTCTTCTTCTTCTTCTTCTTCTTCTTCTTCTTCTTCTTCTTCTTCTTCTTCTTCTTCTTCTTCTTCTTCTTCTTCTTCTTCTTCTTCTTCTTCTTCTTCTTCCTTCTTCTTCTCTTCCTCCTGGATGGTCAAGAAAAAAAATCTAATCGAGCTCATATGTGACCTAGACAAGATCAGTCACGGAAAAGAACGGACGGATACACTGGTAGACTTGCATGACTTGTCTAAGGTTGTCATAACACTGGGGAGGTATTGGAAGAATCAGATACCTGCCACCGTAGACGCCGAGATTAGGGCACTGATCGATCAACATTTACGCACAGAAGACGTCCTCATCTACACGTACGGGTCAGTGAAAACTGGATTAAAATCGACCTGGGCAGACACAGCACAAAGGACCAGAAAAACAATAAAAGAGGATAGCGGCACTTTCCAGACGTTTACGTCAAGCATGACCATGGACATAACCGCTGCTTCCAGAGCACTCGCGTGGGTAGCAGAACAAGCGGCCACACATGCGGTAATCGTTTGAGACGCTACTAACATGCTTTAGAAAATCGCTACAGGAAGTCGCCGCTCCTAATGAGTAGAAAGCATTCGAAAGTCGCAGTTAACCACCGTCATCTGGATCTACACACCTGGGCACGCAGGACATAATGGTAATGAAAGAGCTGACCAGCTGGCAAGTAACGCATCAATGGAATTGAGAAGAAGCATGGACCGAGGTGACATCATCAACGCTGTACCCAAAAGGTTGGGGATAATGTCCAATGTTGAATCTCTGACGCTAACACGACTGCGTGACCAAGAAGTTAAGCTTGGTAAAGCACATCTATGTCGTCTTCTAGGTAAAGACTGGAGATGCTACAACCAACTCCACATGGGAACAATCACTAGTGGTACCTTAGAGTGGCTGCTGCATCTGAGGACTTAGCACGTATGGGGATGCCCTATGTGCAAAGACGTCGATTTTGATAACATGACATAATCATGCAGATAATGACTTTATAGTAAAATAGAAACATGACAGCTGTCGATAAATTTATAAGGGGGGGGGGGGAAGGGGGGGGGGGGGGACTAAACAAAGCGTATGAAATAACAGCCATACATCAGAACTAGCCTCTGTTAACTCTATGATTCCCGATGGCTTTATACTGGTTCAGCCCTTCCTGAAACCATCACGGACACTAAAGTCCTAGAATGAGTGTTAGGTAATTACATGTCATTTAAATGAGTGTTCTTCAACCGTTTTAAACCCGGGGGGGGGGGGGGGGGGGAAGAGAAGGACAGATCTACTGCCTCACCAACAAACATGTCGTAAGAGTCGACCATTCGGGGGCTCTGAAGTCTTGGTGCATTTGCCCGAGCGGCAAGGAACAACTTACTACACACAAAAAAGCAAGTAAAAAGAATCTACACGCAAAACTCGGTCCCTGGCATAAAACCACTGTCCAAATGGACGAACAACCAGGACTTTCCCCGGGAGCCTGCAGCCGGTGAACGAAGAAGAGGAAGATATGTCCCTGGAAACCTGAAGCAGTAAAAGAGGGAGTGAGAACGACTGCTCTTAACTCTTTGAGTCCCAAGAAACGCGTCATACGTTCATAGATTCCTACCTAGAAGCCCAATGAACGCAAGATGCGCCGATTGTACGACTTTCTTGACTACTCCTTGGGCCTGTGATGCTAAACCCCCTGGGACTCAAAGAGTTAACCACCTAACACAGAGGCTGTCAGTTTTTAATAACGAAAACGTTAATTCATCATTGCCATCTTCGTCGTAATATGTAGACGCTGTTTTGGTTTAGCAAAATCTTATTTCTTCCTGTGTTGTAATCCCTAAAATAAATACCGCGTCCGCAGTAGACGTATATTTTTATTTTTATTACTTAGCAAATTTCGCAATACTTGATTAATATTGCCAATACTGTCTGGGGTATGCTTGGCTTACCTTCATTCGTGTTTAATAAAGACCGATTTTCTTTTCAAAATATTGACTAAAAATTGTATATTTGGGTCATGAATCTTCGTTTAATAGATGAGATCCGCTCTGGGGATATTTGACATTGTAATATTAATATAGCCCGCCATCTTTGTTTAGTAAATATATTATGTAACTGCTCTCAAGCAGAAGCGTCAATCCATGATGGCTGGGTCACACTAACTAGGCTTAGCATTATATTCTGAGCTGAAAACGGGACAGCCAACTCAGATTTTGAACTAAAAATTTGACATTTCAAGAAATTCATTAAAATACAATCACCTTTGATTATCTTTTTTAAAAATTTTTTTAATAGTATAGGTCACCGATTAAATTACGCACTCGACAAAAATAAATAAAAATCTGAACCCTAGTCGGCAACAAAATAAACGAAACAATATGCTTAACTGGGCTCGGAAACAACAAAATTCCTGCAATGAAAATTGCAATATATATATTTAAGGCATAAACATTCAATGAAAACTATGAAATCTAATACGTTCTACAGATCTGCTTGTAAGTGCACATTTATTCTCTATCGAATTCATTTATATATATAAATGTATGTAAACATTCCACACATATCTGTATGTATGTTTTATTCTCTATCGAATTCATTTATATATATATAAATGTATGTAAACATTCCACACATATCTGTATGTATGTTTTATTCTCTATCGAATTCATTTATATATATAACTGTATGTAAACATTCCACACATATCTGTATAAATGTTTTATTCTCTATCGAATTCATTTATATATATAAATGTATGTAAACATTCCACACATATCTGTATGTATGTTTTATTCTCTATCGAATTCATTTATATATATAAATGTATGTAAACATTCCACACATATCTGTATAAATGTTTTATTCTCTATCGAATTCATTTATTTATATAAATGTATGTAAACATTCCACACATATAACTGTATGTATGTTTTATTCTCTATCGAATTCACACACACAAACACCCACACACACACACACACACACACACATATATATATATATATATATATATATATATATATATATATATATATATATATATATATATATATATATATATATATATCGGTATGTTGCGTATCCTTTACAGTGGTTTTTCTAGGCAAATTTACGTGCAGTAGTTTTATATATTTATATATACGTGTGTGTGTGTGTGTGTGTGTGTGTATGTGTGTATGTGTATCCCAGCTGCCGGCCATGCGCTTTGTGTTGGTTTCGTGAGTAGTATCAGGGTGGCGACCGTCCAGAGGCAATGGCAAACTACTGGACGTAAATTTGCCTAGAGAAACCTCACAACAGCCAGGGGCTGCTGGTGTTGGTTCTGCAACGTCCTGTAAAGGATACGCAACTAACCATATATGTGTGTGTGTGTGTGTGTGTGTGTGTGTGTGTGTTTGTGAATTCGATAGAGAATAAAACATACTTACAGTCATAAGGGTTGAATTTATACATACATATATATATATATATAAAGTTAAACAGAACAACTGGTGTTTTTGGAACGGCCGTGGCAAACCTTTGAAAAACAACTCAGCAGTCCATACCGCATACACACACATGCACGCGCGCGCATACACACTCAAATTCCCGAGGGCACATACAGTCTCCTTCTTGTTGTTATACCTGGTAGTATTTTAAAGGTAAAATCATATTTCCTTTCTGTCCCCTCTTTGTTCGTTTGGGGAACCCAGTTTGAGAGAGTCTGTAGACCATTTATCTCCCCTAATAGACATGTGGTGCTAGGCGACTAGCTATTGCTGTTTTCACCCTAAGAGACGAGAAACCAACAGTCTGCATACAAATAAGCCAGATCTTTAAATGGATGTGCACGCAACACTCAAGTCTTGAATAGGACCACAATCCAGAAGTGGATAAACAACCCGGACTTGCCGCTGGCTAGAGTTAACAGTCAGTGAACGTTGGGAAGAAGAATTGGCCGTTTAGCACTATATTATTTTTGTTTTAATTATCCTTTTTATTAAGCACTAAAACAAGGATCATAGCACCCTCCCATGCTTTTGTGTCGGCGACTCTGATGATAGCGACCGATACCGAATACGTACAGTATCGATCTGTTGGTTCATTAGGAGAAGTTAGTCAATAAGCAGCGAGACACGAAAGCCACATTTTGCCGATACCAACAGGCAGTGCTAAATGAATCTGGGAGAAGATGTTTAAAGAAAAATCTAGAAGGCGAATGTCAAACAAATATGGAGGCTATGTGTACCTGTTTTTCCTTGGTGATAGAGTTCCAGCTTCTTGAAATCGGTGTTTATTTTGGTGAACACCGAGTCAATGGCTTAGCTAGATTACCACCTCAATAACCACAATAACGATCGTGCTTGCTATTAATGTAAATTCTCCGTCGGGGGTCTGGCAGACCCCATGAGGATAGGAAGCTGGGGGAGGGGGTGGGAATGGACCCACTTCTTTTTAACTTCCTGTTTTATCACTTTGGGTATCGGGAGAGAGATATAAAGTTCTGATTTGAACCCACAACCTTTGAATCAGCAGGCGAACGTTTAGCCCCTACACCATGGCTGCTCCGTAGGGACACGTTTGATGGGGCTCTTTTCCTAGCCCCAGCTACAAACTACATGAGCGGAGAGGCAGTAACTGGCGACGCAGTAACTGGCAAGTCTGACTTTCAGCCGCGTGCCAATCGCCGTTTTAGGGGCGACTCCAGAACAAGAAGATGTTGTTGTTGTTGTTGCTGTAGCAGTAGCAGTAGCAGCAGCAGCAGCAGTAGCAGCAGTAATAACATCAGCAGCAGTAGCATCAGCAGTAGTAGTAGCATCAGCAGCAGTAGTAGCAGCAGTAGTAGTAGCAGCAGTAGTTGTAGCAGCAGCAGTAGTAGCAGCAATAGTAGTAGTAGTAGCAGCAGCAGTAGCAGCAGTAGCAACAGTAGCAGCAGCAGCAGCAACAGTAGCAGCAGCAGCAGTAGCAACAGTAGTATTAGAAGTAGAAGTCGAAGTACATTATTACCAGCACTTGCCTGCAGGTGACACCGGGTTAAAGCAGCCGTTACGAGGTCCCAGATTGTAAATTACTTAAATCTCGAACGGAGTATCTGGCCTTGTACTGTTGGTTTTCCACCAGCACTGAGACTGTTTTAGTCTTACGGTATCAAACCCCCAGGTCCTGGGTTTGCCAAAGACTGAGATTTTCTGACAGACAGAAGAACGGTTCTTCAGGCACTCCAGTTTGGAAAATTACCAAGTATACAGAAACTCAATACTCTCCAAACTAGGCAATCGTTGAAAGGTAATTATGCAATGGATACCATCTCATTGTGGAGTTTCCTGGAAATAAGCAAGCTGATAAGCTGGCTAAATTAGGAACAGTCTGACGTACCAGTCTCTTATCCACAGAAAAAGACAACAATGGAATCTACAACATATCAAGCAGAACCTCTGGCCAAGAGAAACATCGGCTGAAGCCAATCTCTACAAGTTATTAAGTGAATTACAAAAGACAATGAAATTCACACTTGAGACATCATTCCACGTGCAGATAATCTGCCTAGGGTCATGAAAGATAAGAAAAACTCCACGGCGGGAGCATTCACAGTAGGAGCTTTACCGATCATCAGTTGGTGGGTCCCTCGACGACAATTGTTTCGGCCCATTTTCCTCCTAGATGGTGAGCCGACCTGGTTCATGAAGCCAGACGTTATTAGCTGTCTGACGCGGGTTCCAGTACCTCTGTATTTGCGTTCCCGTCTTGCCACACTATGGCAGACATTAATCACTTCTCGTATGTACCTATGTATACATCTATGTATACGCATAGTTGATCTCATCATCGTGTGCCTTGCTCAAAGGTGTGGTCGCCCATGTCTCTCCACAAATCTCGGTCCTTGGTATTTTTGAATCAGTTCAACTGATTCTATTCCTCCCCACCTTCCCTTAAGGCTATTAAGCATCATCTCTCTTGGCCTACCTCGGGCCCCTCTATCGTTGACCTTTCCAGTCATCATAATGTTCTTCAATGTCTCGGCCTCCTGTACAGTTGACCTTTCCGGTCATCATGATGTTTTCAATGTCTCGGCCTCCTCTAATGTTGACCTTTCCGGTCATCATGATGTTTTCAATGTCTCGGCCTCCTCTACAGTTGACCTTTCCGGTCATCATAATGTTTTCAATGTCTCGCCCTCATTTACCGTTGACCTTTCCAGTCATCATGATGTTCTCAATGTCTCGGCCTCCTCTACAGTTGACCTTTCCGGTCATCATGATGTTCTCAATGTCTCGGCCTCCTCTACAGTTGACCTTTCCGGTCATCATGATGTTTTCAATGTCTCGCCCTCATTTACCGTTGACCTTTCCGGTCATCATGATGTTTTCAATGTCTCGCCCTCATTTACCGTTGACCTTTCCGGTCATCATGATGTTTTCAATGTCTCGCCCTCATTTACCGTTGACCTTTCCGGTCATCATGATGTTTTCAATGTCTCGCCCTCATTTACCGTTGACCTTTCCAGTCATCATGATGTTTTCAATGTCTCGCCCTCATTTACCGTTGACCTTTCCGGTCATCATGATGTTTTCAATGTCTCGCCCTCATTTGCCGTTGACCTTTCCGGTCATCATGATGTTTGCAATGTCTCGCCCTCATTTACCGTTGACCTTTCCAGTCATCATGATGTTTTCAATGTCTCGACCTTTTCTCCTGTTGACCTTTCCGGTCATCATGATCTTTTCAATGTCTCGGCCTTCTCTACTGTTGGCGTTTCTATTCATCATGATGTTCTCAGTGTCTTGGCCTCCTCTACCGTTGACCTTTGCAGTCATCATGATGTTCTCACAGCCTCTATCGTTGACCTTTCCAGTCATTATGATGTTCTGCAATGTCACTGTCTCCTCTACCGTTGACCTTTCCAGTCATCACGATCATCTCCAATATCTCTCTCCTCATCACATGACCAAAGAACACCGACTGCGCCTTTCTTATAGATGTATTTAGTTTTATAATGTCATTAGTCATTTCTGGGCAGTAGTTGTTAGTCACCCATTCCGTAGCATATCCATCTAGTACTGCTAAATACAGCATGAACTACTTCTTCTTCGCGTTCACCAGCTGTACACTCTGGCGGAAAGTTCTGGTTGCCCGTCCACTACTGAACTGCAGTCCTGCTCCAGGACCTGAGTGTTGCGTGTGCATCAGTTTTACAGATCTCATTCTCTTGAATACAGACTGTTGGTTCCTTGCCTCTCCAGCAGATGCACTCCGACTTCAAAGGAAGCTCCCCAATTATTCGACTCTTACGACATGCTTTTGGGGAGGCAGTGGGTCTATTCTTGTTTTCCCCACAATAGGGCCCCGGAACCCACACGGGAGACAGCATGAACTGTGGCTAAACATATCAGTGGAGTCAATGGAACAGATACGCTCAAATGTCACCGAACGTTTCATAACATCGGTGACCGAATTACCCGTTAGCTCGCCAGTAGACGACTTCGTCGCCTGTCGGGGAAGTATATGGGTCTGTCTTCTGTGATCACATCAACACTGCAAGAGTCCTTTCAGGGCTCTTAGTGGTATGCAGTGCTAAGCCAGTTTATACGGCACACATCACCTAAAGCTACCCCTTCCCGAGTGCTGGGTCAAGGTGGCGATTTTCTATTAATTATTTTTGCCCAGCAAAGCACCAACCTACCACGATCGTTTAGATTAGAATCTTTATCTACTGATAGCCCTTTATCTACTGATAGCCCAACTATTTATTTATGGATGTACGCAACGGTACCATAACCTTTTATAGGCATATTGTGTGTGCGTGTTTGTATGTGTGCGCGCGCGCACGTGTGATGTGTGTGTATGTGTGTGTGCGCGTGCGTGTGTGTATGTGTGCAGAGCTACTGTAATTGACACTTTGTGTTCAGTACCTGCACCTATTTCAGACACGTTGTGGGGAGTTCAAAATCTATTTTAGACCCGTTCTGGCAAGTTAAAATTATATTTTAGACATGTTGTGATCAGTTGAAAATACCCCCCCCCCCCCCCTTTTTAGCGGGGGATAAAAATAAGCTCATCAAAACAAATGCAACACGGACTTGACTAGAAAACTGGTTTTGTTTAACCCACCAGATTGTTGTATCCATCGAACGGCACGCTGCGAATTTTGCCCTCAGACGTGGTTCTAAGTGGCTACCGAGTTCCTGCAGGGGTGAGTAACTCATGTACAGCAACTAGTGCAGTTTGTTAGATTTGTATAGTTACAGTGCGTTTCAAAAGTCGCTCCCTGAAACTGTAACAAATATAATTGAAAACTCCTGTATGGATCAACTATGGCCTACTTTAGATCTAAAGTAGGTGTTCGATCAACACGAATTTTTACATGTTTCCTTAGATTTCCTATGTCCTTATGATTTTATAATTGACAACTGCACAGGTGCTGCTGTTTTATAAAGCGGCGTAATTAATTGAAACACGGTTGGAGGTATTTAGAAATCAGTTCACAAGAGATTATTTAGAAATCAGCTCACAAGAGATTATTTAGAAATTAGTTTACAAGAGATTATTTAGAAATTAGTTTACAAGAGATTATTTAGAAATTAGTTTACAAGAGATTATTTAGATATCAGTTCACAAGTTCAGCGATGCATGGTGATATTTTGATAGCCTATCCTGCATACCATGAAAAATCCGCAACTCACGGAAGCAAAATTTAGAGATGACCACATGAGAGTGAACGCCTATAAATGCAGTTTTTAAGGAGAACCGTATGGGTCGCCGCTAGGGTTACGAAGTTCTTGCTTTGTGCGACACTCTTTGCAGGCGGTTAGCCGTTGTGCGAAGAGAGAACACGCCATACGGGATACAACTCGATATAATCTGTCTTCTCCTTAGCATTCACCGGTTGCAAACTCTAGCGGAAAAATGTGGCTGCTTGACCACTTTTCGACTTTGGTCTTGTTCCACAACTTGAACCTTCCGCTTTTTTTTTTTTCTTAGATTCGGCTTATTTATATTTAGACTGTTGGTTCCTAGCCTCTCATTGAGATGCACTCCAACGTCTGAGTAATCACTCCTAATTAGTCGCCATTGGCGACATGCTTGTTTTTTTGGGTGAAGTTGGGGGGAGGGGAGGGGGAGGGGTAATTCTTTTTACTTTTTTTCTAAAAAGAAGAATGAAACATGCGCAGGGAACCCATTGCAATGAAGTCAATGCACTGGCATTTTTTTCTTACTAGTAACTTTTACGGTGGGTTCCCAAGAATCACTTTAATTGTCACATGATAGTCGCTTTACATAGGACATTGTAGAATCACTTTACAATGTTACACGACAGAGTCACTTTATAGTAGAAGCCCAAGAATCATTTTACATTGTCACACGTAGTCACGTCACAAAAGACCACCATAAATCACGTGGCTTTGCCACAATAATGGAGTCATTTTACAATGTGTGTTTAGCATCACTTTACAGTATGTGTTGTAGAATCACTTTAGAATGTCACACGTAGAATCACTTTAGAATGTCACACAATAAAGTCAGTTTATAATAGACCCCCAACGATCACTTGATATGATAAAGTTGATGGACTCATAGGGACTCAAATGTTAACGACGCAAAGTCTCCACAGTTGCTATTAACTCTCTCACAGTCGCAGGCAGGTATAATTTAACTCGTTGATTCCTAAGAATGTGTAATACTTGTGTAGATACAGAGGTGTTAAACTGGTCACAGTAAGGACTAACACGGTTAAAGTAACAGGAATTATTAAAACAGCTTTTTAGGAAACAGTTTAGAAAAGGCACTTCACTTATGATGCGGCGTCCGTGGCTTAGGCGTTGCAAGTCCTGACTCGTAATTCCAACGTACCGCGATCGAAACCCACTGCTGGCTGCGTGGATTTTTATCATGGTATGGGGCGTCGCAGGTCGACCCAGCATTAAAATGGATACCAGGATGGCTGCCCTGGGGAAGTAAAGACCGCCGGCGTAATGCTGACCACATTACCCACCGAGTGCCGATGGTCTGTAAAAAATATAGGTGCTCTTTCCATATGCCCGATACGCCTAAAGGCGTGAAAGGGGATCTTTACTTTACATTTACTTCAATTATGGTATAATCAATAAGCACATGGTGAGTTGATTGGGTCTGAATGAGTTAAAACCTATCTTATCTATTGGTGGTGGTGGGGGAAGGGGTGGGGGGGGGAGAGAGCACGTACACATATACAGGCAATGTTATTATGGCACTGCTTTTCTTTGTACAGTCCAGAATACTGATGTGCAACACTTTGACTTGCGAGAATGCTTTCGACGACCCTGATGAATATATACCGGAACGCTGGATGAGGTCTGCAGACGGCAGCCGTACTCATGACATTCCCAAAATGGCGGTCCTTCCTTTTGGATACGGCCCGAGGAACTGTGTGGGCCGCAGGTTCGCCGAGCAAGAAGTATATTTGGCGGCTATCAAGGTGGGTGTAGGCCAGTTTGAGATGTTCTAATGCCTAGTTGTCTTGGTTCTTTTCTTTTTGTTCTCCACATCTCGGGTACTCCAAGGTTTAGTGGGGAGTTCCCGGGAAAGTCCAATAGTGTAGGGGTGTTAGTGTGGGAAATGAACACCAAGATCTAAGAAAGCTGCAGATATCACCCGCCTCCTTTCATCTCTATGATTGTCCTTCTCCTTCCATTTGGCGACTACATGTGTTTGTAGATATGCATTGTGGTCTACCTCTATTTAACGTTTTTGGACATGCAGTTTTTGTTTCTCTGTTTGCCACTCTATCTATTGTAGTCTATCTTTAATTGTATTCCGCTACAGGTCGCCGCACACGATACCTGTAGTTAGTAGTGAGTTAAACAGATTATGAAGTTTGTTGTTGCTTCTCACTTTCCTTTCTCGGCAGTCTGCATCTTTGATGAGTCCAAAGACCCCCACCCCCGGACGTTTGTCTTTCAAGTTCGTTATCAGGCTTTGTCTCTTTTAGCTGTAGTCCAGGTTCAGAGCCATGCATGGCAATATCTCGGATATCTGTGTCGTGACCAAATGCGCTTTTACAAAGGCGGATGTGTTGGCCCCATACTTCAACCCCCACCCTGGAGGACAATGTGTACTGTCGCTCTTGCAGCCGAAGCATCATGCTTATGTACAAGGACTTACTAGCATAAAGGCTGAACTATGGAAGGTTGTCAAGAATACAGTGAATGAGCTTGATCAGGCGATAGTTCTGTCACGCTGAGGTCAGTTGATTCAAGAACGAAAATCACAGCTAAAGGGAAATTCCGATAATCGCTCCGTTCCCCATCTTCAGCAGCGGACCTCACATGGTATCATAAACAGTCTGATTGTATATCCGTCTAGTCTTTTCCTATAAGTGTTGCATTCCACCCAGATTAAATGATCACTCTTCTCTGCATCATTACGTTCAGACTCCAGTCTTCAGATTAACTGACCTAATGAATAAATGAACATCGTTTTATCTAGGATTGTCATACTTTCCACATTTTGCGGATCCTGAAATACTCTTAAATAAGGATACGTCAGCAAAATAGCAGAATTATGGCAGCCCTAGTTTTATCAAGTGAGTCTGTGGCTTAGGCGTTGCGAGTCCGACTCCTTATTCCAACGTACCACGATCAAAACCAACTGCTGGCTGCGTGGATTTTTATCATGGTATGTGATGTCGCAGGTTGACCCATCCTTGAATGGGTACCAGGATGTATGTCGTGGGGATGTAAAAACGGCCGGAGTAATGCTGACCACATTACCCAGCTAGTGCCGATTGGTCTGTAAAAACATGGGTGCTCTTCCCACATACCCGATGAGCCTACAGCGTGAAAAGGGATCTTTATTTTTAATGTACTAGTTTTATCAAACAAATAATTTAACCAAGGCATGTTTTTCCACTCGCAGGTTCTACAGAGACTACGGATTGGGTTGGAACCAGAGTCTCTGAACACGCCTTTTGTCTTCCGGATTTTCCGGCAACCCGCGACGCCTTGGCCTTCACCTTTACTTGACTCAACTGGCACCTGGCAACGTGACTTTCACTCAACAGATTTCTTGTACATATCTTCAACGATCTACTTTCTGGTCTGTCAGCGTCCCAACAAAGGCGTCCCAACTGCGCCCTAACAGCGTCAAAAGGGGTGTTTGGTTAGATCCCTGTATGTATTTTCTGCAAACATCATCTTCGTCATTATTACGTTATGTCATTATACATCACTGAGAGTGCAGCCTACTCCACTGTTATGATCCGTCTTGGACATTCCTTAGTAAATGGTGGATGGAATCTAGCACAGCTAGCCTCTCTCAATGCATGATTGTGGGTGTGTCTTGGACTACTGGTTTTCTTATCACATTCGTTTCCTATTTCAGTGTTTACTTTATGATTCTGTTACTTTTCTTCCTGATGTGTCAAACACATTGCCGTCTTCTGTTTCTTACAGGCATGAGAAATGGTCCTTTCACGAGGTTACATGAAATAACAAGAGTAAAATGTATGAACGAGGAGTTCAAGTGTTGATTTAGCAAAGATGAACGTATGAAAGAAAGATAATGAAATGTGTTTAATCTGTGTGTGCTAATGTCACAGTTAACCTCTACACCAGGACTAGCCAACTAAGTTGACTCAGGGGCCAACATTTTGAAAAACGTGGATCATCACAGGCCATAGGTCCGAAGCTCCCACATTGAAAGATCATTACTACAATATAACTGGCAAGTTCCATGGACTACTTGCTAGGCTTTCGCACAGGCCACCAGTTGAATAGCCCCGACCTACACCTTAGATATTTGCTGTTTGAAACACGGTATCTATAGGTATGACCGAGTGGCTATATTGGCAATTCTAAAATCAGAAATCAGATCTTTAATTTTATTCTTCATGCAATTGTTCTAACTTTTGTGTGGTCTTCCAACTGCCCTTTATTCATTGTATTTATATAGAATGGCTCTCTATACCACGTGGTACCTGGCCACTATGGTCAAACGGCCAAACCATCTCATCTGTAATCATGATTGTTGTTACCCGCTTGTTTATGATACATTAAAGTGAGATCTCAACAAGGAATGTCATGTTATCATTGTTCTGATTTATTGTCATTATCTTTTTGTCCTTTCCCTGTGCATTTTCAGGGTTCAGTGTTGTGACTTGCCATCAACTGTAGAACTTGAACAATGAACAAACACTGAAATTGTTCAAAAAGAAACAACTTTCATTGATGTAATTGACATAATATTGGAAAATTTATTTTTCATTTCCAAATGTATATATTTGATCTAACAATTCATCTCACAAGTGAATATTGTGTAACATACACACATACACTTTAACTAAGTGAATATCATATATAATACACATATGCATATTATCATGACCAGTGAATATCATTCAATATACATATACAAACATACATAACTTATCATTACTAACTAAAAATTGTATAACATACACACATACCTTATCATAAATATGTACATTAACAGAATCAAAATGCAAACATTACGTCATACCATTCACACCTGTGGTACAGAAATGTTACATACAGTCAGCTTTCTGGTACAAGAAATGTTACATATGGTCACCTTTCTGGTACAGAAATGTTACATATGGTCAGCTTTCTGGTACACATATGTTACATATGGTCAGCTTTCCGGTACAGAAATGTTACATATGGTCAGCTTTCTGGTACAGAAATGTTACATATGGTCAGCTTTCTGGGTCAGAAATGTTACATATGGTCACCTTTCCGGGTAAGAAATGTTACATATGGTCAGCTTTCTGATAGATGTTACACTGGTCACCTTTAGAGTACAGAATGTTAACATTTGGTTATCTTTCTGGTACTAAAATGTTACATATGTTACCTTTCTGGTACTAAAATGTTACATATGTTACCTTTCTGGTACTAAAATGTTACATATGGTCACCTTTCTGGTACTAAAATGTTACATATGGTCACCTTTCTGGTACAAACATTTGACCAATGACCACTTTTTCATACAATCATCTTTCCGGCACTAAATATGTGAGAAGTCAAAACATTGTGTACAGTGAAGAAATATTAGCAGCAAATAACTCGCGCCAGGATGTAAATGCAATTAATCTTGTACACAACATGTACAGTACACATCTGTATTATTAACAAAAACATGTACAGAGGCCTGTTGTACCCAGGACAACATTATAATTAAGAGCTGTAAACCTGCAAATAATAAGAAACTTTGAGAACAGGTGAGTGAGTTAATACAAATTCTGCATCATAACATAACTTGCAGAAGAGTGTTCTTCATTGCCAGGTCATCACACAGAAAATGTTGGTCAGATAATGGATGTATTTACAAGTCAAATGAAATATTTCAAAAGTGTGACAACATGGTAAGAATGACATAATGCTACTGCAGTGAACAAACCTGGAATTGAAATGAAACACTCAAAACTGTTTCATATGTTAATCACATACCCATACTTCCTTTTGCACATATTTACAGAACATAATGTCAGATTTGATACATTTATTGGTAAATATTCAAAAAGTTTTTTTCCAACCATGAATATTTTAAGCATCTGCAAGTAAATTTTACCGAAAAACTGTAAAAATAGTTTGCTTGCACTAATACACTCTTTGACCAATACAACTGTATGTTGCATATATTAAATTAACTTCCACACTTAGCCATAGATAAATGCACACAAACGTATTGCCCATACAATATCTGCAACCAAGTTGCCTATTGGCTCGCCGATAGACAACTTCATCGCCGATCATAACAGTATTTAGGTCTCTCTTCTTTGGTAGCATGCAATGTGAAGCCAATTGATATGATGCACAAAACCTAGTCACAATTAATAACCAAAGCTCCCAGGATGCTGGTTGAATGTGGCGATTTTTAAATATTTTTTTCCAGCAAAGCACCTATCTTTCCCACACAAATCTGACACTCACACAAATCTGACACCCACACAAATCTGACACCCACACAAAAAATACACATACATAGACAGACCTGGTATCTCTGTCTGCCTCCCCCCCCCCCCCCCCCCCCCCCTCGCTCACATGTACGCATACACACACACAAATAATGCTGAGGTATAAATGGTTATGGATGTCCATCCATATATTTGACATGTATTTTGATAGTCAGAATATCCAGTAACATATTCATGATGATTAAGTCATTACTTGCACAAATGGGAGTATTCTCAACAAGAACAATACAGATGTTATTAATTTTAAGATAGAAAAATGAGGGCCCTCAAAGCTGGGACAATGATGATATGATCTAAATGGAACAATGGGAGGTTTTTGGTTTTTAGATAGCACAATTCTGGCCTTGGAAACTGGGTCAATGTAAATGAGGTCAATAAACAAAACAGTGGGCTGTTTTCAATTTTAAGATAGAACATGAGGGCCTTAAAGCCTGCAACAACACAGATGTGATCAATAAACAGAAGAATATGAATGTTATCATTTTAAAAATGGAACAGTGTTACCATTAGAAGGCAGAACAATGCTGATGTGATCAATAAACAGAACGACTGGATATTATCAAGTTTGAACAATGTTAGCATTAGAATCTAAAACAATGCAGATTTGATCTATAAACAAAAGAATGTAGATATTATCATTTTCTAAGATAGAACTTTTTCTTCTTCTGCGTTCGATATCAGTCATGCTAAACATTGAGTCCCGTCTGGGTCACAAATAGGATTGTGCGTTTAAGGTCGCCACCGGTCCCCCATAGCTTCTCTTGCAATGTGGCTCCTTTGGGCCAGATCCACAGTCTTTGATGGGAGAGGTTAGGGCAGTACTGTAGTATGTGCTCTGGGGTTTGTCTTTCTGCTCCACAATCATAGGCAGCAGATTCTTTTATGCCTATCCTGTACAGGTGTGCTCGAAGACCACAGTGTCCAGTCCGAAGTCTAAAAATTGATGTTTGTTCTTAAGATAGAACAATGTTAGCACTAGGAAATGGAACAATGGAGATGTGATCTATAAACAACAGAAAAATAGGGATGTTGTCAGAAATAAGATCAAACAATGCTGTTGTTATTAGATAAACAATAAAACAGTGGTCTTATCAGCAATAAGCATGAACAACAATAATAGTTGATCAGCAATTAGCACAACATTGATGTCAATAAGAAAAGTATTGTTAACAATAACAATGTTCGAAGATATGATAATAATGATGTTATCAATCTGATGATAGAGCAATGCTGGAGTTACTAGCCTGAGGATAAAACAATGCTGGAGTTACTAACTTGAGGATAGAACAATGCTGGAGTACTAGCCTGAGGACAGAACAATGCTGAAGTTACTAGCTTGGGGACAGAACAATGCTGGAGTTACTAGCTTGAGGACAGAACAATGCTGGAGTTACTAGCTTGAGGACAGAACATTGCTAGAGTTACTAGCTTGAAGACAGAACAATGCTAGAGTTACTCGCTTGAGGACAGAACAATGCTGGAGTTACTAACTTGGGTATAGAACAATGCTGGAGTTACCAGTCTGAGGATAGAACAATCCTGGAGTTACTAGCTTGAGGATAAAGCAATGCTGTTCATATCAGTCTGAGAATATGCAATGCTGTTACAAAACAATACTGATTTGTAAACAGGTTGTTTAAAACACACATACACAAACACACACATCAAGTGGGTAACAAGCTCATAAATAAACTCTAATTTGCATAATGTTAGATTTGATTGTAAACCAGGGCAATATGACATCTGAGTCAGATCTAGAACAACACACTCAGCATTTCTCTTTCAAAACAGCACATTGTACAAGAGATGTATGATGTCATCAGTTAATGTCATAATAATAGTGACTACAGACTGTCAAACAATGGCAGCTGTGAATACAACAATGATTATCAGCTGTGAATACAACAATGATTATCAGCTGTGAATACAACAATGATTATCAGCTGTGAATACAACAATGATTATCAGCTGTGAATAATGTATTATCTTTTGTCTTGTTCATTTAACGATAAGTTTTCTATAGAATTTCTGGTGAGGTGATTATGTGGTCCAACCAGGACAGTTCTCAGTACCTGACTGTGATAAGCAAAGCTCTACATAGCCATTTTATATTGTTTCTTTGTTCATTAGCATAGATGTGTTT